TTCACCGTGTCAGCCAGGATGGTCTCGATCTCCTGACCTCGTGATCCGCCCGTCTCGGCCTCCCAAAGTGCTGGGATTACAGGCTTGAGCCACCGCACCTGGCATCGGGCCCTACTTTTAAAGGGCTTGGGGTGTCCATGTCCAACTCTCAAGTCCAGGGGCTTCCCAAGAGCCAGGCCTGGGGTACCCAGCCCAGCGCTGCTGTCTGTGACAGGCACAAACTCAGGCTGTTCTCCCCACGCGGACTCCACACAGCAGGCTGCGGGACCCAGCTCCGCTCCTCTGCCCCACCCCTCTGCCCTCCCTGCTCGTGGGCACCAGAAACTTCTTTCAAATTGCATCCTTCTATTTCGGTGCCTTTGTGTTAATCATTCCCCCCGGGGAGTATTGGTGTTTAATTGCTGTCTGATTTGCACAATTATGCATATTAATCTCCAAGTCTAATGAATATTCATAAGCCTCATTTAGATTTTGTTTTCTAATCAAAAATTTCCAATGTGATTATGAGTGGGGGGCTGGGATGCTGTCTTGGCTGAGTTGGGGGCCAGGCAGGGGGCTCCTGTAGTCTCCAGGAATCCACACGGCATTTGCTGTCAGGTCTAGGCCATCTACACCCCGAGGTTCTGGTCCTGCACGTGGGCCCGGGCGAACAGGGCAGCTGCTGAGGCCAGGGCGCGCTGGCTGTGTGGGTGGGAGGGCAAAGCGCCGGCACCCTCTGGGCCTCAGTTTGCCTCTACACCACCTGTCCGCTGTCTGGTCCCCTCTGGCCATAGTCCGCTCCCCAGGAGGTGCAGAGACCCCCAACTGAGCAACGGGAGGCTCCTGGCACCCAGCCCTCACCCCCTGGAAGGCGTGGCATGGTGGGGGGCCTCCTTGGGGCCCCATGCCCAGGTTGCCCCCGAGGCTCACTCCAATAGGCCCCTGGCAGAGGCAATGCCTCAATCTGCTCTTTCGGGAAACCCTCCCTCATCCAGTCCTTGGCCTCCTCCTCCTAGAAATGACAAAAATAGGGACAGCCCCCACATTAATAGTTATTAAAATCCCCCCACCAATTATGCATTTTAATAATCCACCATGAATATTCATAATACATCCCCTGCTCCTTTTCTAATTAAAATGTACTAATAGAGTAAGACGCTGCTGTCAGAGTCTGGTTTTCTGTGATTTCTTTGGTGAAGCACTGCAGAGTTTTAGCCAGGAAGGGCACTTTCCTGCCCTGGGCCAGCCTGGCTGCCTCAGGGAGAGGCCTGCAAGTGGACGGCATGGGGGAGCTGGGGAGAGGGCCCCAGGAGCTGCCCATCTCTTGGGCTTCGGTTCCTATTCCAGTCACAGGGGTATGGAAGCTGCCCACCTGCCTGGGCTGCCATGAGGATAACAACGAATGATGCTGCTTCAAGAGAGGCCATCGGTGGCCAAGGAACGCTCAATGCTGGTGGCTTCCCAGCCCCAGTCCCCATTGGGTCCCCTCCTGAGAGGGACCAGGGACTGGTCCTTGCCTGGTGGCTTGCTGGCAAAATGGGAGGGGGGGCTTCAAAAGGTGCTCAGTAAATACTGGGTAGGACTGAGATTTGTCTGCAGCAGGGATCAGCAAATAGTACACATGGACCAAGTCTGGCCCCCAGCTTGCTTTTTAAATAAAGTTTTATTGGCACACACTGTGCCCATTTGTCCATGTACTATCTACGGCTGCTTTTGCTGCAAGAGTAGAGTTGAATAATTCCAATAGAGACCATCTGTCCTGCACAGCCAAAAATATTCACTCCCTGGTTCTTTCTGGGGAGGGCTGGCTGACTTTCATACAGAAGACTGCCCAAGTGGCTTCAGCTGCCTCTGCACAAGAAACCCAACTGACAGACTTCAGTACCAGGAGTGGGGTTACCATGCTGGGCAAGCAAAACTCTTGGTGGACATGGGCCCTGAGCACAGCCCTGTGTACTGCCCCTGCCAAACCCTCAGGCACACCACCAGGTGGTCTGGCTTCAGATGGGCCTGGGACTTCATCCTGTAGCCCCAGCTCTGCAATGAGCCCCCCAACTCAGGTGCTCAGGCTAAAGTCCTGGGAGTCTTCTTACCTTCCCTCCTCCCAAAGAACAGCAGCTCGCCCCATAGCTATACAGCAGCGAGTTAAGCCCCGTCCCTGCAGCAGCTTCCTCCCAACTCTGCCGACATCCTCAGGCAGCCTGATGGAGCCTTTAGAAGCAAAACTTGGCTCTTCTCCCTCCCTCTAGCCTCTCTCATGGCTCCCATCATCCTCAGGATAAAGACCAAACTCTTCCCTGACCTCATCACTCTCCTCTTCCCCAACACATGAGGTGACCCCCACCCACGCCCCCTGCCTGAGCCCCTTCCCAGCCTGGTGCCCCTTTGTCCTCAGTATTGCTTGAAACACAGCGGAGGCCCCCAAAACACCCATCCTCAACATCTTCATTTCACTCATAAATAACTGTGCTTCCAAGAACATTTTCCTGGAGAATTAAAACGTTCTCCACCTCTGCTGTCCAATACGGGAGCCACACTATCAACTGCTGGAAACGTGGCCAGCATTTTTTCAAGCGCATTAAAAATTACACTTAACGGCCGGGCACGGTGGCTCACGCCCGTAATCCCAGCATTTTGGAAGGCCGAGG